CAATCAACTAAATTTTGGGGCAATTTATCTGCCATAAATAATTTGGAAACTTCAAAACTGACCGGTTCCACCCCCCAAACTGCTGGTGACAAAGGACAGGCCGGCACATCGACTGTTGTGACATGGTCCTGCCCACAAGGTTGCCCAGCAGCACCCTCAGTCGTGGTCAACCAGCCTCTCATGGACCTTCCTCCTGGCAGCCTGGTCTGCAGCTGGCAGTTTTTAAGTGCAGCTTCAGTCTACGCATACAGATCATCAACGCTGAGGAAAATGCCCATTTCCAGAATTCCAGCATTACCAGCCAGCCTGGTTCTTACTGCTCTGCCCTGATGAGGTGCTGAAGGAGCCAAACTCTTTGGAATGGGTACGTCCCATTCCACCCAGACTGACTGAACTGGGCCCACGAACGCGCCCCACAGAGCCCATCAAAGCCAAGCGGGGCTCGCTCCTTCCACCCATAGAACAGGGTTGGGATGGCTGGTACGGATTCACCTGCAACTCCACCCGTGGTGACAAAAGGCTCCTCAAGCCTCCCAAGTGCAAACTGAGCAGCAGAGGATCTCCCTGACAGCTCCAGAGCAGGAAGCTGCTGGCAGTCGGCTGAAGTGTGAAATCAGGGCTGAACTGCACCCCTGGGAAGCTTGTTCAGGGACAGCTAATTTAGCAAGGGACAGTGTAAGGCCGTGCCCTGTGATGGGTTCGAACACCAGGCTCAAAGCAGAGAGTGAGGAGGTACAACAGCCCCACTACCTGCCTGCTACTGCTTGCAGAGTCAAATGTGGCAGCACAGGGTCTGGCAGTCAAGAGGAGGAAAACCCACCGAGCCCCTTCTGCTGCTCAGCCTCCCCTCCAGCTGCACCTCTGCTCAAAACCTTTCCCAGTGCCTCCAGACAGACAGGGGGACGTACCACTCCTCGGGTTTGGGGTACACCGTGTGCCTCAGCGCGTTGTCCGGGTCGTACTCGAAGGCCACGCCCGCCGTGGGGTTCCACTTGGCGTGCTCCTTCCCGAAGCCCTTCTTGGCGTAGGCTCGCAGCCGGAGCTCCTGGCCCTTCCGCAGCTTCACGATGAGGATGTCTGCAAAGCCACACAACTCCCGTCAGTCTGAGGAGGCTGCAGGGGGAGGAATCAGCCTGCGGGATCTGAAGGCTCTGAAGCGTCAGATTTACAGCTGCCTTGCGGTTACGCAGCTAGTAAAGGAAAAACGAGTTCAAAGAACCCCCCCAAAAAAAGTTAATTTCCTCCTCCAGCTCTGCTCCCAGTGACCTGCCACTCACCATCCTGCTCCACATAGTCATTGGGGTCGTTGTCTCTGCTCCGAGATGTCACCTGCAGCAGCAGAGCGAAACCAAGAAAATTAACGACAAAATCAGCTTTTCTCTCCACATCAGATACCAGTTGCCTGCAAAAGTTAGAGACGGTGGAGAACTCCTCTAGAGTGACTTACAGCAACAAACCCAGCCCACCCTATTTAATGGAATTTGGGGCAATTCAGGTAGCTGCAGCCAGGTATGTGATGTCCCCACAATGGCGTGCTCATCTCCTGAGCTGCTCTCCCCAGGATGGAGTGTATTCCAGCCCAGCCCAGCGCATCTGCTCGGTTCCCAAAATCACTCCCACGACTGCTACAGGTGACACAGAGCATTCACAGCACCACCTCAGCTAAACCAAATACGAGACAGTGGGCTGCACGTGGGCTTTAACCAGGCAGACACTGTCACCAGGCAGCAGGAGCAGCCCCAGGATGTGGTGACATCCAGATGTGGCCTCAACAGTATATAAAATAATTTTCTGTAAATCCCTTTGCATCTGTCCCACCAACCCTCCCTCCACAAGGTGACTGTGCGGGAGCTGTTTGGCAGCAGCGCTCTGGCCAGGGCTCCTCACACCTTGCCGAGCTGAGAGCCAAGAACCAGCAAACCAGAGGCCTCAGGTCGCTGCCAAGGGGCTGACCTTATCCAAGCCCTGGCAGCAATGGGGAAGGAGAAGGCAGTGGCACAGCAGCAGGAGACAGGCACTGGCACTGCTACTGCAGGTGTTTCTGCTTTGCTCTCCCTCTGCGGTTCAGGTAGAGGTTCAGGGCCTTGCTGTGTCCACATTCCACGTGTGTGCCACCCTGGCCACAGCAGGGACGTAGAGAGGGACGAGCAGAGGGGTGGCACTGACCGGAATGACCCGGGGGTTGTTGGAGATGAGGTCGCGGGACGTGACGTGGCGCGTCTGGTCCTCGTTGCAGCGAACGTCCAGGGTGAACTCCACGGAGCACTCGGGGCAGAACTCGTCACACGTGCAGTCCTAGGACACACACACACGGATTGAAACCTTTATGCAAGAAACTGTCAGCGCTTCCCACTGGGATCAGACACACCCACCACCAACCAAGACAAGCCCCCCACGACATTTCGCTTGACTCACTCTGGAATATTGCATCTTATCCACAATGTCATCGCTGGTGAGAGGGATGAGGCCTGTGGGAAGAAGGAAATCAGGGGAATCCCCGAGTGAGACCACAAGAGCCCCCGACTTTCCTGCCAAGACAGGCAGAGGAACAGCAGCCTCCTGACAAAGGTGTTTCGGCATCTTTGGGCTGATTTCACCCTCAATCCACCCTCATCTGTCCCCCATGTCCAGCACTCACCCAGCCTGTGCGCAATGAACTCATCGTGGAGCACGGAGGAGTTGGCGTCTATCTGGACCCAGTCGATGGCTGCAGGGAGGGCAAAGCCACAAACTGAGAAACACTGACGTGAGGAAAAGTCACAGAGTTTGGGAGGGCACAGGAAACATCGCAGACACAACACTGAGACAGCACACGCAGCGGGATGAATACGGGTGAGGAGAACTGAAAGCAGCCGGGGGGTTCGGGAGAACACAGAGGGGAAGTGATGGGAGCCAGTGGGAGCAGCCCAGGGGACCACGGGCCGTACCTATGGTGGGGACTTCCGCGATGAACACTCTCCGAATGGAATTTGCCACCCTGAGGGAGGGAAACACGCGTGTTTAGGCACGAGGGGGCCGTGGAGCAGCCGGCGGGGGCCGCTGCGGGGCTTGGCCTCGGGTACGCCGCCCGGCCGTGCCCCGCGGCTGGGACGCGATCCCACGGGGGGACGCCGGGCCTGTGGGGCCACCCCCGGGCCCGCCCGCCCGGCCCGGTGCTCACGCCAGGTCCGTGTTCTCGATGATGAACTTGACGTTCTCGTCCGTCAGCTCGGTGATGCGCACGGTGGGCTGGTTGGCGTACGGCATGGCCGCCCGCTCCGGGCCCCGGCCCCGCTCCCGATCTCGATCCCGCTCCCGATCCCGCTCCTGCTCCCGATCCCACTCCCGATCTCGCTCCTGATCCCCCTCCTGATCCCGCTCCCGCTCCCGCCCGGTCCGTCCCCGCCCCGCTCCCCCCCGGCCCCCGGTGCTCCCGCAAAAAGAGTCCGTGCCAGACAGAGTACGACTTTATTGGTGCCGGGGAAAGGGCCGCCCGCCGCCGCTCCCGCCTCACCGGCGCTGGTTCAGCCCCGCCAGGTTCTTGATCTGCGGGCACAGCGAGAACGGGTTTAGTGCCGGTGTCTCGGAGCAGTTGCCGTGTGCTGGGAGCTGAGATGTGGGGGGCGAGGGGCATCACCGCGGCCAGGGGCCAGGAGGGGGTGAAGGATGTCCCTGGACATAGAGGATCCACCTACAGTCACCCCTATGATGGGTACCTGCTCTCCAAGTTTCAGCTTGGTTTTGTTCCCGTGGCCACACAGCCCCTGATGGTGAATTTAAGCTTTTGGGGCCTTCAGCTCTCCCATCCGTTCTACAGAGACCTGAAGAGCTCAGGGCTCCTGTACAGGGACAACTGGGGACACCTGTACAGCACCCCTGGACGTGGGAGGGTCAGGCTGTTTTCCCTCTAATAGTTACGTGTTGGGATGATGCTGTTCTCAAACACCTGGCTACAACCCACCCCCTTCAGAATCCATCCAGTTCCTCCTGTTTATCCGTGCAGTGGATCTGCTACAGGGACAGACCAAAGAGCACAAACAGAGCACGGGGATTTTTTTAGTGGAGGTTCCTTTTGGATTATTTGTGAAAAGAGTAAGAGGCTGAGAGACACTAAATTCCACCGTAACTGCAGGGGAAAGGAGGCGGCAGAGAAATCTTGAGAACTGCTTCATCTGTAAAACTTATTTCTCATTTATGTTCCAGCCTGTGTGTCTTGTCCTGACACAAGGAAAATGTATTTTTGATAGCAAGGAAATCACTTTGTTGCTAAATGGAATGGGAGTCGTCCAAAAATAGAATCACAGCAAGGCCCTGAAGCCCTTGAAAAGTCACTCCTGCGTACACAAAGGGCTGTTTTGTACCCCAGAGGAAGCAAAGCTCCCTCTGCATGGACACAAAGCAGTCCAGGACACTACCAAGAAGTGAATGACTTCTTGGAAGGGCACTGAGGTCAACTGAAACAGCTTGAGGAAGTCCCTGCTCTGGCTCAGGGACAGGTGCCACCTCCCAAGTGTCCATGGGGGCACGAACCTCTAGCACAGGGCCTGGCAGAGGGAGAGATCTCGTGACAGGCAGTGGAGAACAGCTGTATTTACTCTGATCACCTGTCTCTCATCCCTAAAGCTCACCCTGCAGCTTCAGACTTAATTTCTTTCTGCTCCATTGCAGAAGTTCTTTCACCGTGAAACAGTGATCTAACTCCCAAACTATCCTGGAAATCATCCTTAAATATATCTAAGTTATGAGAGACAATTCTTTTTCATGTTCCCTAGACTTGGGAGGAAAAAACCATGCTGGCATTCAGCATGGGAGGGGACAGAAGCAATTCTGGTCTCAGAGTTTCAACATTACTTACAGTAACTGCAGCTCCCATCAGGCCCTGGACAACAGCTTCTCCAGTGGATTGTACCTGGGAGACACAGGGAGAATAGGACCTTTTGCTTTCTTCTGCAGTTGCACTTGTGGCCCCCAAACACAGAGATGCAGTGCACAACAAGCATCTATTTGCTACAGAAAGGTGCTGACAGCACTGCAGACAAATGACAGACAGAGGTAAGACACACTGTCTCCCAACCACTGGGCCAGTCTTGACACACAGGGCACTTACATGTTTTCTACCAGAAAACACACAAGCGTTTATTGACGTTGAACCAACAGCAACCGCCTGCCAGCAGCTGCGGGGGGATCTGCCTGATGGAAAAGCCAGGTCTGCCTGCACACATCCCTGGGGAGAAGGGGGAATGCTGCCCATGGGCCTTGCCCCTCACGTTACCTGGCTGGCTGTGTTGCTCATGTTCATGGCGTCAGCCACCCTGTTCTCCAGGAAGCGCCAGGTGTCCTCGAAGTCGGGGGACGAGTCCTGCAGCATCACCAGCTCGGTGGTGTTGTAGATGCCGGTGAGCACGGCCCGGCGGGTGTACCAGCTGAACTGCAAGGGCAGGACGGGAGAGACACAAAGGTGTGACCCGAATGCAGGTCAAGAGAATGGCAAGGGAAAATCACACACCAACAGCAAGCACATTCCTTCCCCACTTCAAATGTATCCCTGTGTCTGGGATGCAGCGGGGCACCAGCCAACACCGACTCCTGACAGAACAGCTGCTCCCGTGGTACCGGACAAGGGTCACACACGGATGGTGCCTAAAACTGCTGAGCAAACCCTCCCCCACCTGCTTCTGGCTGCAAGCAGGCACCTGCAGCAGGCAGCAAGGACTCCTTGCCCAGCTTGTGTGCACTGTGCAACAGTTCACCTCTGCTTTACAGGCTGCCAGGCAATGCAATGCTCCAATTTAGACCTGATTGGAGCAGAAACAGCCATGTTCAGCACGTAACTTGGGCCGCAGCTCACACCAGGGACAACCATGAAGAAAGGGAACAAACAGGACAGAACTGTGCAGGGCATCACACAGAGACACACCTCTTCCAAGTCCTGTCCCTGAAATACCAGTGCTGCCTGCTGAGTCACAAAATGCATCAGCACAGCGCTGGCAGCAGTGCTGTAGGTGCGTTACACCAGCGGGTTACACAATGCAAAGGTGCACAGGATAACTCCAACTCCTCAGATTTTCCACTGGCACTTGAGCCACTGGCAGATGAAATACATAAAGGTTTTTAAAAACGAGTCTTCAATTCCTTTTGCTGCTGTTGCCTAGGAAAAAATACTGGTTGTTCCATTCATGGTAACAAAGCAACAGAAAAATGAAAACACAGGCCTTGATTTTAAAAACAAGAGTTGGGTGGAAAGCTCCACTGCTGGCACCACAACCTGCAAGCTTTGACAAGGGGAGAAACGTGGGGGATGTTGCCACTTGCAGCTGGATCAGGTGCCTGAGACCAAACTCTTTCCTCCTGCCCCCAAAAAACCCACCTGAGGGGGTCTCTGAAGCATGGGCATACTCTGCCTAGCTCCTGGCACTAGGAAGAGGGATCCAGTGCGACCTTAAATTCCTTTACTGGGAAAGAGGTAGCGGGTTGAGCATCACAGCTTCCCCAGAAAACTCATGTAAGCAGTCAGAAGGTGCAAACAAAACACAAACTTCAGAACCTCTCCTAATCCCTGTGCTGGCGAGGAGAATTTAGGAACAGCTCAGTGCAGACACCGGCTCTGACACGTCGATTTGACTTTCATAACCCAGAAGGGACTTTGAGTTCCTGAAGCAATCATGTTCTTTCAGTTCTCTTCTGGTTCATTCCTTTAATTTTTCTGTCATCTTATTTATTTTTCACTGCAGTAGCTTCTCTTTTATATCCAGATAAAAGAAGCTTATTAAAGTAGTTTGTTAAAATGGCTCATTTAGCTTTTTCCATCTCTTCATACATCTATAAGAATTAAAGTAATTTATTAATTGCTTTAATTAAGGTTATAATTTTCTTTTATTTCCTGCCAGAAAGATGAAAGCTTTAATGAGCTACTGGTATTTTTAGGTAGGTTCTTTAAAGGTTTCCAAGTCAAGTCTGTAAATGCTACTGCTGGTGGAAGAGAGCAGACAGAGACACACTGCTCGCTCACTGAATACTGGATTAACTTCTAAGTCTCAGAATCTCAACAATCTGCGCCTTCAAAAATTAAAAAGAAGAAGAACACTTAAGAGCCTAGGCGAGTAGGTCCTTTTAATTTGCACTAATCCCACTGGCACTAATTTGCATTTAGTCTCTTTAGAAAATTAAGACTGTAGTTTATAAGGAAACCTTGGGTGCTTCTGATATGTCTTCCCCATTCAACAAACAGAGCATTTCCAGAGGGACGTGGCCCCAGGCCTACTGGAACCCGTCATTTGTGCTGAAGTGCTGAGGGGTAGAACCAGCCTGTCTGCAAAGCACAAACACTTACATCTGTGGACTGGTCCCCAGCATAATGCCAGATATCATCGATCATGCTGGTGAGGAGGCTGAGGCTGGAGGGGATGTTACGTGGGAGCAACAGGACGCTCAGGGCCTGCAAAGGAAACGCACAGATGGGAGAGTCCAAGAGAGGAGGACGTAAAATTAAAGCAGACCAACAGTGCTCTGCTCGGTTATCTTTTCCCTGTTGCTGCTGCTTTGCCTCCAGGTCCCAGTGACAAGTCCTCCCAGCAATCTGCAGCCAGCACCAGGCTTTCCTAGCGGCAGGATGTGCAGGTGAGCTCAGGCCTCGGCCCGTGCTGGAGCCCTGAGCTCCCTGCTCAGCTCAAACACCACCGAGTTGTCTCTCCTGAGCTGCCTCTCCGGCATGGAAACAGCAGAGGCTGAGCTGACTCACCCTGTGCCCCTGTGGGCAGGGAGTCACCTCTCTCATTTCTCCGAATTTGACTTTGAACTCAGAGCTTCAACCCAGGGCAGAGCAGCGCCAGCCATAATGGCCCTGCTGGGATCCTGCAGCCTTTGAACGTAATCACACAGTGCCAGGAGAGTCACCAACCACCCCCACCCTTCACAAGGCAGGTTATGCTAATCTGCAACAAGAGCATGAATTTTGTGCCCTCTCTCTTCGCGTGGAGTGCTGGAATCAGCTGCCCAGAGGCCAGCAGTGGTTCTGGACAGAGGCTGACCTTGCAGCAATCTTTGCAGCCCAAGGTTGGGAACTCTTTTCTTGTTACTGTGGCCACAATTCAATTCCCTTTTCCCTCTGAGAAGAATGGCTTGAGAGTTAAACCTGAATTTGGAAGCAGGGAGCCCTCTCAGTTCACAGCTCTCCCCTCAGGCTGCCCAAGGTTTGTCAGTCACACACCAGAAGGGCAGTTTCTGCAGCAAAGCAGTTCTGCATTTCCAGGTGTCAGGTGATACTGGTGCAGCCAGAACAACCCTGCACGGAGCCTGACTTGCAG